TTTCTTCACTCTTCTTTTTTTTCCTTTCCACTTCCTTTTTAAAAACAATTTTCCACTTTATCCGGAGCTATGGGTAAACAGCTCAATCTTCCACTTTCCCCCTTTCGCTCCGGCACTTTACAGACATGTCAATTACCTTTTGATTTATCCGTTAGTTATAATCCAACACTGATTCCTTTGGACCTCTTTCCCAGACTCCAAATGTGATCTCTCTCCGCTTCCTTCTCAAAGTTATTTCGTCGCGTCTTTGGGCCAGCTTAGCTGGCTGGCTTCTTTTGCCCTATGCTTCAGGCTCCCTTCTTCACCTCCGGGATTGCACTTCCCGTTTGGCTCCAAGAGTTCTTCCTCACTTGAGTGATCCCACCAGGATCTAACTTCACCTTGAACGGCTGCCCATGAGCAAAAACTCTGATGTAGGAGAACAGATCAAGATTCTCCTACCTCGCCATGCCGCAATATCACTGGAAATCCCTCAAACAGTTTTTAAAGCTGTTTTCTTCCCTTGCCAATATCACTCTTTTGTGTCTAGATGGTACAGACACCATTGCATTGCTGAAAGATATTCTGACCCCATTCCCTTTGGGTCTGCGATTGAACAAGCTAGAGGCCATGATGTGGGATAAATATAAGATCCAATTGTCTAAACTAAGCCTGGACCAAGGTTTCAGGAACAGCCTTGAGTTGTTGGAAGCATTGCCTGAGATCATCCTCATATTCCGCAAGAAGCCTGTCCGATGCCTTGTACAGCTGAATCCAGGTTAGTCTCTATATATTTAGCTGGGATCTTTAGGCTTTTTATTCAAGGATTTTATGTCTCATTTGAGATTATAATTCCCCAGTTAGAAGTTCAGATAACATCTCAATTAGATATTGAGGTCATTTTAAATAATTTAACCCCAGTTTAATATTAGTCTTTGCCAATCTATCTCCTTCCAGATTTGTGGGACAAACTCTCTAATTTTAGGTAGTGGTGCTCCATATCATGGCAAAGTACCACCATGGTAAAGGAAGAAACATGGCTGGTGTAATAAACTTCAGGTCACACATTATGATGTAAAAAGTCTTAGGCTGGGTAATTCCTGTCAGTTCTCCATTAAGTTGGCGAGTGATCCAACCAGATTTAGTGAAGCAGGAAAATTGGACTTATTCTGGAGCCTTTGACTATCTAATTATTTATCTCCCTTGCCTCTTTTGTAGATGGTGACGAAGTTTCATACCGATTATCTCATCGGGGAAGTTGCATCCAGAAAGAAACGGTGACATTGCAAGATCCCCGAAAGTGTTCATCATAAAAAGAATTTTGCTCAAATCTTAGATTTAATCTCACAGTGAAGGTGGTTTAATCTCAAATTGAAAGTGGTTTAATTTCAAGGTGAAGTTACTCTTGAAAATGAATCCAACCTATAGAGGGCACAATATCCTTATTTTTGTAAGGTCTTGTAAAAAAATGCAATGTTAACCTAACATTCTGATGTTTGGTGTTAATAGCTAAATGAGATTGTATTAAAAGAAGCTTCGGAAATTAGTTCCTCAGACCGGAGCAGGCTAAATGTCTATTTGATTAGAATGAGGCATAAGAGATATCATGAATTATTCAAACCTTTATAACATTAGCATTTCTTTTGTGCTGCTTAAGAAGGGGCACCTGGCATGTGTTCACCTACAGGGTTCTTGGAAAAGAGTAATAAAAAATGTATTCTGCATTACATAGCATCCTTTTTATGAATGTATGTGTGTTGGTAAATCAATCAATCAATGAATGGATATGTGCAGGTGAGACAGCATGACTGGTGGTGCCAAGGACAATGCCCATAAGCATATTGATGTCTCCAGCTTTAAAACCTATGGAAAGTGAAGTATTTACATTCATTGCAGCTTTTCTTCCAGGGAGCAATAGAAGGCAAATTAGAATGTAATGAGAGATTGCAGAATGATCTTCAGTAGATGGCCAAGTGGTCTAATTTCCATTCCATTCTAGGCTGCTAAAGTGAATCTGTCTGAAAAACACTACAAACGTAATTCTTGTATTCAAAGTAACCCCTGATCTGAGCATGCATGCAAAGGCTATTTCTTCATCTAAAAGATGGTTGACAGACAGGGTTTAAGCAGAAAGAAAAGTAGCTTGAAATTTGAGGCCTGTGTTGTAGAAATACCAACAAGAAAAGGCCCTCTTTGTTGGACTTTCTCTGCAAGGATTACAGACTCTTGGGATGAGTTTTAGTAAGCATGAATCTATTTCCTAAAATTGCTGTGTGATATAATCACATTCTCTTTCTTTGCACTTAGAATCTCCATTGTGTATTTTCCAGTTATTTTAAAACACTAGTCAGTCAGGAACACTGGAGTTTTCTTAATAGAATATAAAATATAATAGATTTGTATCAAACTTCCAATTTAATTACCTCGTTCTTTTGCTCCCTCATTCTCTTTTTAGTTGGATTCAAATACTTATTAATCTGTTTTCCATCTTCATTGAGTCAATGAACAAAATAGTAAAGGAGGTTTTATTGATCCATAAAGAAAGGCATCTAAAATATCTTAACTAACATAAACCCTGCATTAGGGCTAATCAGATGTTGCAAAATGATTAACATACATTTGAAGTATTAACCAAAAGCCAACATGGATTTGTCAAAAATAGATTATGCCAGACTAATCTTATTGCATTCTTTGACAAAGTGACAAAATTAGTGGTCCAAAGGAATGCTGTGGATATAATTTACTTGGACTTCAGTAAGGGATTTGATAAAGTAGACCATAGCTTACTACTTGATAAAATAGAAATGTGGGTTAGACAGCATCACCACCAGATGGATTTGTAACTTGCTGACCAACTGCATGTACTCAATGTGTAGTACTCAATGGAACTGCATCTACATGGAGGGAAGCGTGCAGTGGGATACTGTTAAAGCTCTGTTTTAGGCCCAGTACTCTTCAACATCTTCATCAATGATTTGAGGGAATAGATGGGGAACTCATCAAATTTGCAGATGACACAAACTAGCAGGAATAGCCTACACTCCAGAAGATAGGCTTAAGATTCAAAAGGATCTTGACAGACTTGGGCGCTATCTAACTAAATGAAATTCAATGGTGAAAAAAGTAAGGTTCTACATTTAGTCAAGAAAAACAAAATGCTTTTGATTTGTGGTATCTTGCTCAATAGTAGTTGCTGTGAAAAGGATCTTGGAGTCCTAGTGGACAATCATTTAAATATGAGCCAGCAGTGTGCTGCAGCTGCCAAAAATGCCAACACAATTCTAGGCGGCATAAACAGAGCAATAGAATGAAGATCACATGAAGAATTAATACCATTTTATAATGCCTTGGTAAAGCCACACTTGGAATACTGCATCCAGTGTGAAAAAGGTGTTGAGGCTCTAGAAAGAGTGCAGAGAAGAGCAACAAAGATAATTAGGGGACTGGAGGCTAAAACAAAAAGAACGGTTGCTGGAACTGGGTATGTCCAGTCTGAGGAAAGAAAGTTCTAGGGGAGACATGGTAGCAGTGTTCCAATATCTCATGGGTTGCCACAAAGAAAAGGAAGTCAATCTATTCTCCAAAGCACCTGAGGGTAGGACAAAAAGCAATGGGTGGAGACTAATCAAGGAGAGAAGCAACTTAGAACTAAGGAGAAATTTTCTGACAGGGAGAACAATTAATCAATGGAACGACTTGCCTCCAGAAGTTGTGAATGCTCCAACACTGGAGATTTTTAAGAAGAGATTGGATAATCATTTGTCTCAAATGGCATAGGGTTTCCTGCCTAAACAAGGGGTTGGACTAGAACACCTCTAAGGTTCCTTCCAATCCTGTTATTCTATTCAAGTGTTTCATTCTTGTGCAAAGAAGGGATGAGGTTAAAAACAAATGTAATCTTGTCTCTAGATCTATGTATTATCTCAGAATTATAGAGAGTCCATTAAGGACAACCAAGCAGCAATTCTTTGCTCAGGGAAAAAAAATCCAAAATTAAAACATCCCCGACAAGAGGTTATCAAGTTCCCCTTGAATAGGGGTTCATTGTTGTATTTCACATTCTGTTAGGGTGTTTTCCTAGCAATTAAATTGGAATTTGCCTTCTTGTAACTGAAGGCACATCCCACACTTTGAAGAGGCAAAAAACAGATTGTGAGTTTCCTCAGACATTGTCACATTCCTCCTCACTCACAACCATCTCTTCTCTAAGCTAAATGTATTCAGGTAACTCAATCTGATGCTTCCCAGAACAATCTCTGTAGTTATCCTATTGTTTTGCCTTAGCATTTTTTGGGGCTAGAATTTAAGATGATCACATCAACTGTGGTTTTGAAATGGAAGGTCATGCCACTCCCATAAGACATTGGACTGTGGTACAATTAAGTCTTCCCTGCAAACACATCAAGGGAAGCTGGAAACTTATGAGATGCTCAAGGATTGGGATTTGGGAGCAGGGCTGAAGAGTTGCAGAGAACCTGAAAGCTTTGTTCCAGGGGGATCTGCAAGGTATGGTCAAAGGGTCAAGATGGCAGACTCAATGATGCAATCAAAGCTCTGCCCATGTTGTGTTGTGGCTGCCATCTTGACTTTGTTGACCATAAACAGGGAACTCTCCTGCTTTGCTCCCTGTATATACTCTATAATAGTGTTCGATGGACTTTAAAGCAGATTGCAAGGGGACTAGGAGGTCTTTCTCTTCCATTTCCATTAAATATTTATGGAAAGATATGTTTTTCTTCTATTTATTGGTTTTACCCAGAATCACTGGTTTTTTTTTCTCTTTTTATCCCATTTGTGTCCTGAGATTTATAAAACGCGCTCCATCACTCCTCTCCAAATACATTCCCCCAGAAACCAGTGAAGTTCAACATACTGACTCTGATCCCTTAAATCTCATTCTACTTTCTGCCTGCTTTCAATTAAATCCCATACCTTGATAGGAGAAGAGAGTTTAAAATACAATCTAAGGTAGATAAAGCAACTTCCTCTTATTAATTCCAAACACAGGAATGCATGTGAAACTTCTGTTTTTATTAATGTGTAGAGGGGAAAGGTGGCTTAATATTGATTCAGGGTGTTTCAGCAGCTTCACCCCAAATGGTTGAATGAGATGATAATCCTTCTGAGATGCATGCTGATTTCTACATCTTCCTGCCCCATTAAAAAAATTGTTCAGCTTGCTTGTTTGGCTATACAAACATTTGTCATTGTATAAACAGGAAGCAAGTTTGGGGCTTAATTTTGCAATGGCATCATAGGAAAGGTCATTAGATGAAAAAAAAAATCTGTAGCAGAATGTGTCAGGAATTCCATCTTGTAATCAAGCTTTCATTCTTCCTTTCAGTTGAAGTAATCATATCTAATGCTTTCAGTTGCATTTGGGTTAACCTCAGATATCTCTCCCCACTCTCCACCTCCAATTGCCTCAGAACTTCAAAAATAGTTCAAAATCTTGGCTGATGCCCATGCTGAGGATTTGGCAGATGTCCCCAAGTCCTGGCTAGACCTGTATTGGGAGGCTTATGGTAAAGTTGTCCTTGTAGTCTTCCTAGGGGCATGTAACCAGGGGTCGGATTCATGCGCCCATGGACCATGTAAAAAGGCATTCTTGCTTCTTCTGGGACATGGCCAGATTCTCGATGTTTCATCAATTCCTTTGCTGGTGTAGCTTGATAGCCCCATTTCTATGAAAAAGAAAAGAAACAACATAATCAGATTTAAAACCAATGTTTGGGTCTATGCCTATAACAATGTTCCTCAACCTTGGCAAATTTAAAATGTGTGGACTTCAACTCCCAGAATCCTCCAGTTGGGGGAATTCTGGGAGTTGAAGTCCACACATCTTAAATTTGCCAAGGCTAAGGAACAGTATCATAGGCCTCTTTGGGTTTTCATAACACACTATTGTATAATTGCCTAAATTGTGCTGAAGTAAAACATGCAGGTAATCCTCAACTTATAAACACAATTGGGACCAGAATTTTGGTTTCTAAACAAGGTGGTTGTTAAATGAATTGCACCTAATCTTATGACCTTTTTTGTCATGGCTGTTAAGTGCATCATTGCAGTTGTTAAGTGAACTATGTAGTTGTTAAGTGAATCCAGATTCCCCCATTGACTTTGCTTGTCAGAAGTCAACTGGGAAAGTTCCAAATGGTGTTTGTGTCATCCTAGGATGCGGCAACTGTCTTAAATATATGCTAGTTCCCAAGTGCCCAAATTTTGAGCATGTGATCATGCGGATGCAACAATGGTCATAGGTGTGAGTACAAGTTGTAGTTACTTTTTCCAGTGTCGTAATTTTGAACGGTCACTAAATGACTGGTTGTAAGTCAAAGATTACCTGTAGGTGCCTGAGTCTGTTTATCATACTAACTTTAACTAAGTTAACATTAAACATATGTGAATCAAATTTAGACAAACACTGAAATTCTCATTATTGTCAGAAGCCAGGCCAATGAAAAATAGCATGGATGCTTCTATGTTCTTCCCTGTAACTATTACCACTAAAAACGTAATGATCAACTCTTAGATTCTAATGGTTATCTATTCATTATTCTAACATATTATTTAGGTTTGTTATTCGCAGCCCACTGACCATAGCTACTGCGAAGCATTGTCATCAAACACTGTTAATAGCTGACAGAACAGCAGCTCCTCAACATGTGCAAAGTATATCTTAGCAACTTGCTTTTACAGATCTGGTGGGGTTACAGAGCTGGGTTTCCAGATCAGCCCGAGGAAGCAGAGAATCTGTCTTCCCATCTTCACTCATTACTGCTGCATTATGGCACAAAGGGATACAAAACTCCTCACCTGTTGAATGCTGCCTACCACACAACCTTCAAAGTACAGGGGGAAGTGGCAACCCTAGGTTTTGTCATACTCTGGTTTTCCTGGTTCAATCTGGGTGTAGCCTTGATCAATATTGACCAAAGGTGCTATGCTGTCTATATCTATTGGTTGAAGGTGGAGGCTGGAGAAAGGCAATATTACTTAGATATCGTTTTTTTCTGTAGGCACTTCTCAGAATTGAACCTTCAGAGTGGTTTCTGGAGCAATTAGGGTACCCTAATTAACAAAGGCACTCCATTGTGAAGTTTGAATACCACCATTTGGCTTTTTGTAGTTATGAAAGCAAAATTCTTCAACCTCAGCAACTTTAAGATGGGTGGATGTCAATTCCCAGAATTCCCCAGCCAGCCATGCCATCTTGTAAGACAATACATGAGCCCAGCTAGGGTCCTATATAAAAGATATACCAGACCATATCCCCACGACCCTGGGCATCCTTCTAATCTGTGGAGTTCAATTCCCAGAATTCTTTCTGTGGCCATGATGGCTGAGAAATTATGTGAAATTAAATCCCCACTTATGGAGGGTCTAGGACAACTCGCTACAGTACATGACAAACTACTCCTAAAACTAAAATCTTACGGTATCTCTGGACACCTGCATAACTGGATAGAAGCATTCCTGTCAAACAGACAACAAATGGTCAAAATTGGGAGCGTCCTATCAAATTCTGTACCTGTCAACAGTGGTGTCCCCCAAGGCAGTGTTTTAGGACCAACTCTTTTCATACTCTACATAAATGACCTCTGTGATCATATCAATACTGCTACCCTTCAAAAAGACCTTGACATGTATCAGAATGGTCAAACAAATAGCAACTTCAAATCTCAACAAATAAATGCTCTGTCCTACGTATTGGCAAAAAATAAATAAATCAGAAAATAAAATACAGGCTGAATAGTCAAGACCTTGCTGATGATCCAAACTCTGTCAAGGATCTTGAGTACTCATCTCTAATGACCTAAGTGCTAGAGCCCACTGTAACTACATAGCCAAAAAGGCATTAAGAGTTGTTAACCTAATTCTACATAGCTTTTTCTCTGGTAATATCACACTACTAACTAGAGCATACAAAACATTTGCTAGACCAATGCTCGAATACAACTCATCAGTCTGGAACCCACATTACGTATCTGATATTAATACAGTTGAGAAAGTCCAGAAATATTTCACGAGAAGAGTTCTCCACTCCTCTACTCATTGCAGAATATCTTATGCCACCAGACTCGAAATTCTAGAACTAGAAAACCTAAAACTACCCTGCCTTTGGTCCGATCTAAGTATAGTATATAAAATCATACACTGCAATATCCTACCAGTCAATGAATACTTCAGCTTCAACCATAACAACACTAGAACAAACAATAGAAACAAACTCAAGGTTAATCGCACCAAACTTGATTGCAGGAAATATGATTTCAGCAACAGAGTGGTCAATGTCTGGAATACTCTTCCTGTCTCTGTGGTTTTTTCCCCAAACCCCCAAAACTTTAACCTTAGACTGTCTACTATTGACCTCACCCCTTTCCTAAGAGGTCTGTAGGGGGTGTGCATAAGTGCACCAACGTGCCTACCATCCCTGTCCTATTGTTTCTTTTATATATTTTTTATTTTTCTTATATGTATCCATGTATTCATAACTATGTTTTTACTTATACCTATTATCTTGTAAGCAATTGACAAATAAAAATAAATAAAATAAAATAAATAAAAATAAACTTGTCAAGGCCTTCTTGCCATAGTCTTTTCACCGTGACCAACCTGTCTCAACCATCATGCTACAGTCACCTCGCTGTAGCCAATTTGCCCTGGATAATTCCATGTGAGATAATGCAATAAATGTTATCCACCACTGTTTCTTCGACATTATTTCCATTGAAAAAAATGGAAATAATGTCGAAGAAACAGTCGTGGATAACATTTATTGCACCGAGTTATCCCATGTGGAATTGTCCCACAGTGAATTGTTCCACGGCAAGAGGGCTGTGGCGAGATGGCGAAGGTGGATTGGCTCTGACAAAATGGCTGCAGGGAGATGGCTGTGGCAAGATGGCTGTGGCAAATTGCTGTGGTGAGTTGTCCCATTCCAAATTCTGGATTCTGTCTAGCCTAAGAAAAGCTAGTGTATAATAAAGCATCCCCCAAACCCACCCATGAGGTAATTGTCCTGCCCCTCAAATAATGGCAAAAGAAGACAATGACCCATAGAAGTATAGAGTATTATTAAAACAACTTTGTTATACATTGTCTATCTCAGGGGTGTCAAACTCAATTTCATCAGGGTTGTATTTGACTCAGGGGGCGGTGGAGGGGTGTCACCAGGGTGGGCGTGGCCAGCATGTCACTCGTGTTGGGGTGCCTGTGGTGGCCCAAGCACTCTGCCAGTGAAAATGGGCTCCTGAGTTCCATTTTTGGCTGCGACGGCCTTCCTGCAACCCTCTGCCAGCAAAAACAGATCTCGGGGGAGGGGGAACGCATGGCCCTCACAGGCTCCAGGGCAAGTTTCCAGGGCAGCCCCATGGGCCGTATCTAAGTACCCCATGGGCCAAATCCAGCCTTGAGTTTGACACCCCTGGTCTAGCTGTTCAAAGCACTCTTTGTATAAAACACTGTTATCCCTGCTGTATTATAGTTCGGCTAGTAGCCGGAAAAGGTCTTTCTCCAATTTTGTCTCTCCAGGCATCCTAGATTAGAACATTTCAGACTTTTTCAATCTGTAAAACCTGTTAAAAGTTTCCCAAAACTCCAATCAAGGCAAAAGTTTAGTGATCCAAAATGATCTCTCTTCCTTTCGTTTTAGAATTCAGTTCAAAAACCCAAAACTATTCATTGAGAAATACCCCTCTATAGAGGGATAATATTCAGTTACAACAACATAATATGTAGGTATTGGATTTTGAATACGTAAACATGATCCACTGATGCTAAATATTTATCCTCATCTGAGGCCTGTGCTTACAGGAAAGATGCCAAATTCTGTGCTTCTAAAATAAGAATACCTAATCACTTGCCAGTTTTAAATAATTAACTTAGCTTGATTAGGAGGTAAGAACATAAATGGGAAGGGGGAGGTAGTTAGCGGGGATGTCTAGCTGCATGAAAATATCTCAGGTTGGCCCGATTCACACAACATACGAGGCTAAAATGTGGTTGGCCCAGAAACCATCTACACCCAGCCAGTTCATTAAAAGATGGTTAAGGAGATCATGGCTTAGTATGTGGGGTAAACATAGCCACTAAGAAATCAATATCCCCATCTCTTTCTTTCCATATGTTTTAAGGTAATAATACTGTTTAAAATTCACCAATCATATTTGGTACCTTTAATTCATGTCTTTAAAGTGGGGGAATATAGTCCTGGTATGTGTGGAAGATTTGGGAGCGATGTGGGGAGTGATAATTTGGTTTTCACAATAATCGGAACTCCTGACAATGCAACACCCCTAAATTTGATTTTTGCAGCAGCTGGAATGCCTCAAGAAGCACCGAATGTTGGTGCGACCACAGATGGAATTTACAAACAGCCAAGCCTTTTCTTCTATACACATCCAGAATTCATGGGGAAAGCAAAACCAGAAAACATAATTACTGCTCTTTTCAGGGTCTTCCATTTGACCTTCTGAACAAACCAGGATTAGGCAGCACTGAAATTATTGGTTCCTATGGAAACCTAAATTACAAGAGATATTTGGATTCCTGGGGAGTCGAGAGTTTAAACTGCGAAGGAGAGGGGAATACGCAGAAAATCAAGTGTGCTTTATGGAAAAAAGAGTGGGGGAGGAAGGCATAAGCCATATTTTTCTCTGGAAACTGATTCATGCATCATTTTATGAACAACATGATAACGACACTACAATCACATTTGCCACGTAATTTGAAGAACATGGATCTGTGTCAACCAGAATAACTGAACTGGAAAGAACCTTGGAGACTCTATACGACTCTGGTCAAATGGTTGTCCAATCTCTTCTCAAAAACCTCCAGTGATGGAGCCACCACAACTTCTGGAGACAGCCTTTTCCATCGGTTAATTGTTCTCACTGATAGGAAATTTATCCTTAGTTCTAAGTTGCTTCTCTCCCTGATTAGTTTCTATCCATTGCTCCTTGTTCTGCCCTCAGGTGCTTTGGAGAATAGATTGACCCCCTCTTCTTAGATATTGGAAGACTGCTATCATGTCATCACTAGTCCTTTTCACTAGACTAGACATACCAAATTCCTGCAACTGTTCTTAATATGTTTTAGGCTCCAGGCCCCTAATCATCTCCGTTGCTCTTCTCTGCACTTTTTCCAGAGTCTCAACATCTTTTTTATAATGTGATGACCAAGACAGTGGCTACATTCACTTATCTAAGCTATGGTTATAAAACATAATGCAGTGTATATATAACATGTTAAAGCCATGATTTCCAATCTGCAATGGATAGGTTTGCACAGTATTTATGACTGTATGGAATGGTGGCTTGACAGCTTGGGAGC